CTTCATCCAAAGAAACAACATGCAGAGCGTCCATACGAGAAGATAGATAAAAGGTACTCGGCGGCTAAATCGAATTATACGGGAAGATGGCGTATAGCTTTATCCTACTTTGGAGTAAACCCTGGAAACAAAGTATATACTTTTTAGGTATCAGTACCTTTCACAGGAACCCAGAACCAGCAAAATGTATGAAAGTATAGTTCTCCAAAACCCAGTTTAGAATACTTTAAGCTTCGTGGCAGGTTCTGGTCAGTTATAATTTTGCAAGAGTGGCGCAGCACCCGGGGTTGCAAGAACTACACTGCACACCTCCAGTTACCCCATTGGAAAGTAGGCCCTTGGAAGGTGTAGCGTTTAGGGTCTGGGGGTCTTGGGGTTTTGGGGTCTTGGGGTCTTGGGGTTTTGAAGTTTTTGGGGTTTTGGTGCTTTGGGGGTTTTGGGGGGTTTGGGGTTTGGGATTTTGGGTTTTTGGAGGGGGTTTGGGGTTTTGGGGGTTTTTGGGGTTTTGGGACTTAGGGTTTCCCTAAATCCCCCTAGAACCCCCGAAGGCCTTTTTTCCGTGCGTCTCCGGGCAGCGGCTGTGGCTGGTTTGGCGCCGCTTGCAGCCTCCATCCTTCGGCCGGCGCCAAGCCGAAAGGGTTTAGGGTTTAGGGTTTAGGGTTTAGGGTTTAGGGTTTAGGGTTTAGGGTTTAGGGTTTAGGGTTTAGGGTTTAGGGTGTAGGGTGTAGGGTTTAGGGTTTAGGGTTTAGGGTTTAGGCGGCTGAGGGTCGAGGGTTCACTTGGAGGTTCATGGGTACTTCGGAGAAGGGCTTGGGATGTTCCCCCTGATTCTAACAGTCCTTCATAGGGGGTACGTACTGTAATCCCGATTAAGGACTGTCAGAAATAAGTGTTACGGGGAACATCCCAAGGTACTTGGAAGTAGGGCTATAAATAGGTTGCCTACGGTTGAGTGTAATTCGGGTTGTAAGCAGGTAAACTGTGATTACAACCTTTAAAAAATCAGGCTGCTCACAACCCTACTTGTATGGGAGTTTACGAACATAGGGACCCCCAATATCGTCCCCCAAATAGTAGGATTGCCTAAAAATAAGGACCCCAATAATAACGTACCCCGAAACCGGACCCACCCATCGCCAAAAAAAACCCAAACAAAACAAAACCTGGCAAAACCCGACAAAGTACGACACAATTCCGGACACAAACCCTACACAATTTCTATAAACCCTAAACCCTAAACCCTACACCCTAACCCCAAAACCTAAACGGGTTCCGGGTGGTTCTATTTGGCTGAGACACTGAGAGACTGGGCCTCGCCCTCGCCGTGCAGGCCCTGCACATGCTTTGCCTCAGCCTCGCAGACTACACTTGCACGCACAAGCGCTTAGGGTTTGGGGTTTAGGGTTTAGGGCCCCTTAAGCCCTAACCCAAAACCCTAAACCCTAAACCCTAAATCCTAAACCCTAAACCCTAAACCCTAAGCCCTAAACCCTAAACCAGGGTGTGCAGGAGAGCTGCAAGGCCTCGTGCCTCCTCGAAGGGGCATTGAAGTCTGCGCCCAGCAAACAGAGCCTCGAAGGGCACGCGAAGGGGGTTAGGGTTCAGGGTTTGGGGTTTGGGGTTTGGGGTTTAGGGTTGGCTCAAGCATCCAGAACCTGACACCCTACACATCACTGCAACAGCAAATATCTCTTGAAAGCTTCTGCAAAGTTCTGCAGCCGCGGAACTGAGTACCCATGCCTCAAGGACCAGCATATCGCCGATAGTCCGCGACGGCCTGGAAGAAGCCACACCGGCACTTCTGTGAGTTCCTTAGGCCCTAAACCCTAAACCCTAAACCCTAAACCCTAAACCCTAAACCCTAAACCCTAAACCCTCAACCCTCAACCCTCAACCCTCAACCCTCAACCCTCAACCGAACAGTTCGAGTACCAAAATGACCTCGTCAGAATCCTCGGAAGAGGTTCGACGTTCGGCTTTCCCAGAACACTGTACTGTCGCTTACTCGGAGACGTGGCCTCCCTAAAGGCGCATATTCAGGCTGGTTCTTAGTGTCGAATGCGGGAATTAGGGCCCCATGTAATCCCTTAAAGGGTATATATGGGGCCCGGGGCCCTAACCCCCTCATTCCCTCCTAAGAACAAGGGGGTGCTGGAAAGTTCGGGTCTTGGAGTCAAAAGCCCCACAATGAGAGACAAGGGAATGCCCAAAGCCAGAAACCCGAGCCACTGAATCCCATATGTAGGGCTTGGGGTCTAGGGTTTAGGGTTTTAGGGTTTAGGATATTCAGAACTTAAACTTGCAACACTCAAGTGCAAAAGCCCAAGTATGGGATCCTGTACTACCCCCGCCCTAACTACACCCCTCTCCCCCACAGCCTTGCTTGGAGGTGATGCAAAGTAGTAGGCGACCCCGTAAGAATGGAACCTTCAAAGGGCGACCCAACCCGCCCCTGATACTTCGGAAGCCTTAGGGTTCCTGGAGCTCTTTGAGGGGACTAATCGTCGAAAATTCCGATCCTCAAGGCCCCCAAGCCCTCCTCCGAACTTGGGACGCCCTTTTAGGGTTTTAGGGCTTGGGGTTTAGGGTTTAGGGTTTAGGGTTTAGGGCTTGGGGTTTAGGGTTTAGGGTTTTGGGTTTAGGGTTTAGGGTGGAAAACTGGGAAAGGCCGGCTGGGGTGCCAGCTAGAAGGCTCTCCACGGCCAGCGCGGCTTGTCGCAGTCTCCTGGCTTGTTGGGGCTTGTTTCCTTGGAGGTTCAGGGTACTTAGTAGCCCAATAATAAGTGTAGTTACAGCCCACTTATAAGCCCCTTAACTACATACCCTAATTGGGTTATAATTGGTTATAGGTACAGTTATCACTGGTTTACTAAGTACCCGGGAACCTCCAAGTATAACTGGGGTGTTAGGGCAAGAAGGCTGAGGGCCCAATCCCTACGCCCTACACCTTAGCTAAGGGGTTGAGGGTGTTAAGGGTACGAACAGTGAGGGGTAACAAACATGAACACCCGAAGTTTTTCCTGGGTCTTCTACAAAGCATTTTGTAACCAAGCCCCCTGTGGAATAAATAGATAGCCGTAATATTTGCAAAAAGGCTTGCGTTGCTGCAGCCACCAACGCCCAAGCCTTCACCCTCAACCTCGAACCTGCGGATGCCTCGATGGACGGCCCCAGCCGCTTTGGACAATGACACAGGCGGACGGCCCCATGTCGTCTACCCACCCAGCTCGCAGTGGCTGATGGCACTGCGGTAGAGGATCAGGCTGGGACTTAACCTTGTCTGGCATTAGGGTTCAGGGTTTAGGGTTTAGCCCAGAAAAACCTACCTTTGTATGCGTTTCCCTTGTGATTTCCTCATGGTTTTCCTTATGTATTCCCTGAAAAAAAATAGGGTGTTTGGGCAACAGGTAGGGTTTAGGCTCCAGGGTTTCGCGTCAGATGAGGCCCTAGCATGACTTTAACACCTTGCGGGTTGGGACTTGCCCAGAACACTGGGCCTTTGACTCTCTTATTGTGGTTGTTGCCATTGTTGCCTTTATTGTTGGTCTTTATGAAGTAGCCTCCTGAAAGACGCTTTGGGTAGGGGATCAAAAAAAATTATTTGGGATCAAAAAGTAATTTATTTCTAGGCGGATCAAAAAAACTTATTTGGGATCAACAAATGATTTGCTGAAGGCTTCGAAAGCTTGTTGCAAGCGGAGCGGAGGCTGTAAACGCTCAGAAATGCCGCATTTCTGGCCGTTCGCAAGCTCTAAATACCGAAAAAATACAGCATTCATGTGGGAACTACTGAAAATAGCAGCATTTCTGAGTTTCCAGAGAGGCTGCAGATACTGTATATAGCAGCAGTTCTGCGCTTTCAGAGGCTGGACATACTGTACACTGCAGCATTTCTGAGTTTCCAGAGGCTGCAAATACTGTAAATAGCAGCATTTCTGCGCTTTCAGAGGCTGGACATACTGTAAATAGCAGCATTTCTGTGTTTCCAGAGGTTGCAAATCAATGCTGGCATCTTGGCATCAGAAGTTTCAAAAAAATGCGTATACTCTGAAGCAAGCCAGAACGATTTGAAAAAGGGCGGGGGGTTGGGGGGGGGCCCCCCCCCCCCTTGCGCAAACAGAATTCTCGCATCATGGGTTTCGAAAGTATGCTGAAGCACCTGGCACGACTTAAAATAAAACGGGGGGTTTGGGGGTGCAGGCTCGCATCAGAGGCGTCGAAAGACGCGTCTACTTTGAAGCAAGCTGGCACGACTTCAATGAAGCGGGGGGTTGTTGGGGTGGGCCCCGCCCCCCATTTGCAAACACAATGCTCGCATAATGGGTTTCGAAAAGATGCGTATGCTTTGAAGCAAGCTGGCACGACTTCTTCCTTGCTTCCTTTTTTGTTCTTTCTTTCATTGTTCTTTCTTTCTTGCTTTCTTTCTTGATTTCTTGATTTATTCCTTCCTTCCTTGCTTCCTTGCTTCCTTGCTTCCTTGCTTCCTTGCTTCCTTGCTTCCTTGCTTCCTTGCTTCCTTGCTTCCTTGCTTCCTTCCTTCCTTCCTTCCTGCCTTCCTTCCTTCCTTTCGTCCTTTCGTCCTTCCGCCCTTTCTTCTCTCCCTCCCTCCCTCCTTTTCTCCCTCCCTCCCTCCGGTTCCCGCTCTCCAGCGGAAGAACCGAATAAATATTTTTTGATCCTAAATAAATTTTTCTTGATCCTGAATAAACTTTTTTCTTCCTCCTATTTTTTTGATCCGCATCCCTGAAAGACGAATGTACCAATTAATCCAATTCAACCCCCATTTGGATGTACGAGGTTCGTTTGGGGCTTTGTGCTTTGTCCCCCAAGAAGCTCAATGCACCGGCCCCAAAAAAGTACATAAACGACGTTATACAGAGGGATGCCTGAACACTTTCCCAAACCACAGCACGGACGCTTGTCCGCCAGCATCTCGTAGAAGAGTCGAAAGGAAAGCTGCCACTGCCGGCCCTCCTCTGGGGGATAGGATTAGGGGGACCCTTACCCTATGGGATATAGACCCTCTGAACAAGGTCCCTGTTTAAGAGAGCCACAAGAGGGTTTAGGGTCTAGGGTTTAGGGTTTGGGGTTTAGGGTTTAGGGTTGAGGGTTAGACCTAGGATCCTCACAGGAGCTGATGGCGGCGCTGTAGCTGATGACGCTCGGGGTGACTTTGGCCTCCGGCATCGCGCTGAAGAGCTCCTAGCTTGCCCAGTTTATTAAAGTTTAGGGTTTAGGGTTTAAGGTTTAAGGTCTAGGGATTAATATGGGTGTCCTACCCCGCTTAAAGGAGTTGATAAGAGAACCTAACCCCCCCCCCCCTCCCAAAAAAAAAAAGAAGAGGAATCAGGGTACTACGCTGGGCATCCTAGGCTCTAAGGCGTGCTGCCACTGCGACCCCTTCTCGCAGGAGCTGATGGTGGCGTTGTAGCTGATTTGGGTGGGCGTCAGCATGGCTTTTGGTATTGCGGCAAAGAGGTGCAGTGCCAGCTGCCACTGCTCCCCTTTCTCGCAGGCGCTGATGCAGGCGCTGTAGGTGACGATGCTGGGTAGGAGCTTGGCCGAAGGCATGGAGTGCAACAGGGACACGGCCACCTCCCACTGGGCACCCTTCTCGCATGAGCTGATGGCTGCGCTGTAGCTGATGACGTCGGGATGTAGCCGCGCTTCGCGCATGGCCCAAAAGACTTGACAAGCCGCTTGCCACTGGCCGCCTTTCTCACAGGAGCTGATGGCTGCGCTGTGGCTGATGACATCAGGGGTCAGCTTCGTGGCTTTCATGACGCCGAAGAGCTGCAGAGCCACCTGCCACTGCCCTGCCTTCTCGCAGGCGCTGATGGCAGCATTGTAGCTGATGACGTTGGGGGCCAGCTGGTGTTGCAGCATCTCATCAAAGAGTTGCAGGGCCAGCTGCCACTGCACCCGACGCTCCGACGCACAGGCGCTGATGGTCGCGCTGTAGCTGATTACATCCGGAGTGAGCCTTGGGGTTGAGAAAGAATCCCTAAACCCTAAACCCTAAACCCCAAAACCCCAAACCCTAAACCCTAAACCCCAAAAAGTCCAAAATGAAGAAGGTTCTTCCTACTCAGCATCCAAGGGGCTGTGCTTCTTGCATGGATGCGAAGAGCAAGATGGCGAGCTGCCACTGCCCAGCTTTCCTCGGTTGGGCCCCCTTTAAGCCACCTAGAAAATATTCTGGGTCTGATCCTAAACCCTAAACCCTACACCCCACACCCTAAACCCTAATAAACCCTCAAGACCCAGATAAATAGAAAGTGTATGTCATACCATTCTGAACTTAAAACCCGGTCCCCAAACAAAACTCCAAAAACCATCTAAACAAGTTGATCCAAAACGCCCCTGGCTGCAAAGTATACAACTTACTTGACCAAGGCTTCAAAGACCCGAAGAAGCCCAAAATCTCAACTAACACAAGGCTTCAAAGGCCTTAAGAGGCCCAAAAAGTTGAACTTAAACAAGGCTTCAAGGGCAAGCAAACAAAAACCTTTTCGCCCAAAGCCCGCCCAAAACTCCGGACCTGAACCCTAGACAATGTCTATACTTTCACCCAGAACTTGCGCCCAAAACCCGCCCAAGACCCAACAAGCAAACCAAACAACTTTCGCTCAACACCCGCCCAAAACTCCGGACCTGAACGCTATACAAATTCGATAAACCCTAAACCCTAAACCCTAAACCCTAGACGCTAGACCCTAGACCCTAAACCCCAAAAGAGCAAATAGAACACGTCCTAAGAGCGTACCCAGCTTCTCGCAGGAGCTGATGGTGGCACTGTAGCTCGGGACATCTGGGACCAGCTGGGCGCCCTGCATCTTTCCTCGGCCGGCCCTGAAAACCCTCTGAAAATTGTCTAGCCCTCAACCCTAAACGAAACCCTAAACCCTAAACCCTCAAGGCCAGGATAAATAGAAATTGTATGCATTTCATTACTACGAGCAGCTCGTGCAATATTCCTTCATCCTTCACAGTGTAACAAAAGCGGACACACGCACCCAAAAAGACCCCAAATGAGAAAAGAAGTCCGAAAGATGCCGAAAAAGGCTGCCAGCGCAGCCCCAACCCCGGCCGCAGGGCCCCCCGGAAGCCCCACAAGGTGCCAGCAGGCCCCAGGAAGATTTCAGCAAAAGCAAAAACAAAACCCCCCAAACCCCCGCCCCCCCCCCCCCCCCCCCCCCCCCCCCCCCCCCCCAAAAAAAAACCCACAAAACCCCAAATAGAACTTTCCATAAACCCTAGACCCTAAACCCAAAACCCGAAACCCAAAACCCGAAACCCGAAACGGAAAACCCAAAACCCAAAACCCTAAACCCAAACCCTAAACCCTTAAACGCATTTTAGGGGAAATAGGCAAATTCCAACGGGCCTAGCGAGGCTCCGAAGAGAAGCAAGGCGAGATCCCACCTTCGACCTCTCTCGCAGGCACTGATCGTCGCGCTGTAGCCTTGGTTGGGATTTTGGGGTTCTGAGGTCCAGGGTTGACGGTTGAGGGTTTAAGTTCTAGGGTTTAGGGTTTAGGGTTTAAGGTGCAGGGTTTAGGGTCATGGATTTTAGGTGAACTACAGAGTACCCTTCAGTCCCAGACAGCCCGATTTGAATCAAGAAGGACCAGTCTTGTTGCGAAGCTGCGGCCTTAAACTTATAGGGTTCTTACTGGAGGGGGAGTTGATTGAACGGTAGGTAACCCAAGGTTCCCGAACACTCCCCATTCTCCTAAGGCTCCCTAAGGCTCCCTAAGGCTCCCTAAGGTTCCCTAAGGTTCCCTAAGGTTCCCTAAGGTTCCCTAAGGTTCCCTAAGGTTCCCTAAGGTTCTTTAAGGTTCCCTAAGGTTCCTAGAACCCCCTCCCCTTAAGACCCTTTCGTAAGCCCCAGAAACCCGAAGCCGTCAACACACCAAGCCCAACTCGCCCAGGTGGCTGATGACGTTGGGCACCAGCTGGGCGTCCGGGATGGAGTAGAAGAGATCCTCTCTTGTCCAACAACCGGTGCCCCTAAAGATCAAAAGAGGAAGCCCAGAAACAGAATCTCGATTGTGCTCCGTCTGACCTACATGAACCCAAAGCTCTTACTCCAAGATAGGCCCGAAGCTCTGCTATAAACTCCACTGGCACAAAATGCTAAAGCAACTCACAAACCGTAAGCCCCTAAATCCCAAAAACACGTTGTCACGCAACAAAACTCTCCACCCCACCTTCCCCTTTTCAAAAAGCTCCTCCGATGAGGAGGGTTTAGGGTTTAGGGTTTAAAAAGCTCTCCCAATGAGGCGAGGTGCTAAGGCGCCCTGCCACCAGCTCGACCCCCTGCAGGCGCTTATGCCGATGGAATAGTGCGGCAGATCCTGAGTTTGTAGGGTTTGGGGTTTAGGGTTTAGGGTTTAGGGTACTGGAAGGGTCTCATGGGTACTTACAAGCAGGGTGTTAGAAGTCCCCTTTCCGAAGGTTATAACCATAGGATTGTCCTACCTATATCCCTACTTATAAGAAACCATGAACCTCCAAGTAGGTTCAAAAGACCCAGGAGGCCGAAAAGGCCCTGGGAAGCCGCGCACCGGCCTCCCAAAAACGAAAACCACATCTTTTAGGGTTTAGGGTTTAGGGTTTAGGGGTCGGTCAAAACTTGTTGTGTCAAAGGGGCACCCAGACGTGAGCAGTGAAGTTTTCGGCATGACTTCAAAAGCAAAAGCTGTCGGCTTCAAACTTCTTGGCACCCAAACCCCCTTCAACATTTTCTTATCAACACGAAGACGTCAGGGAGCGAGCTTGCCTCCGCCACCTCGTCTTGCAGCATGTATCCTTACTGGGCTTAGGATCCCTAAACCCTAAAGCCTAAACCCTAAACTCTAAACCCTAAACCTACTTTCTAGGGTTTGGGATTTGGGAGCTTAAGGCTTAGGGTTCGGAGTTTGGGGTGTAGGACTTAGTGCTCGGAAGGGTTTAGGGTTCAGGGTTTCGGACTTAGTGCTTAGAAGGGTTCAGGGTTTAGGACTGAGTGCTTAGAAGGGTTTGGGACTTAGGGTTTAGGACTTAGAAGGGTTTAGGGTTCAGAGTTTAAGACTTAGTTCGTAGAAGGGTTCAGGGTTTTGGGCTTTAGGGCTTAGGGTTTAGGGTGTACCGAAGAGGTTCTCGGTGGGGCTCCGAGGTCGATATTGAGACCAGAAAGAGGGCCTAGAAGGCTTAAGGCCTCTTTTGGGGTTTAGGGTTTCGGGTTTAGGGTTTTAGGGTTCGGGGTTTAGGGTTTAGGGTTTGGGGTTTAGGGTTTAGGGAACTCAAAGCCTTAGATTCTGAAGCAAGAGTTATCACTTTGAACAGTACGTAAAGAACCCCACTCAAGCACAACTTTTCAGGGTTGAGGGTTTAGAAAATTAGGGTTCAGGTTCAGGATTTTGTGTTTAGGGCAAGAGATATCTGCATAGCAGCTGAGCAGCAGTTCAAAAGACTGATTGGCCCGCCTCTGCCTCTTCAAACTCTGCAAGACCTGGAGGGTTTTGGGCTCAAGGTTTAGGATCTAATTTTTTCTTTTTTTTTTGTGGGGGGGGGGGGGGGGGGGGTTTAGGGCTTGAGGGTTTAGGGCTGAGGGGCTTTAGGGGGAATTCATTTGGTTGAAATGCTGTGCGCTTGAATTGAAGGGTCGATGCGTTTGGGATTTTGGGGTTGGCGTTTAGGGAACAGAATAAGGGTGAAAACCTCGAGAGCCTGAAAAGAATGGCTGGTCAGACATGCTACATAGTTTAAGGTTTAGGATTTGGGGTTGTACCCAGGAAACCCTTCTCTCAGCCCCCAACACACTTATCGTCCAAATAGGAAGCCCCGTCTCGGATTACACCTATTCTGGCAAACCCCATATTGAACCCAGAGCCCTAAACCCCAAACCCCACACCCTACTGGGAGGCTTAGAAGTATGGCGATAAGTAGGGTCAGTATGGTTTTAAACCTTATTTAGGATACTTATAACCCTACTTATAGGCAACCATGAACCTCCT